ATTTTAGTTACTAACTGACAGATGATGCAAATGTAATGACATTCTAGGCCTATATGATTTTAAGGGGAAAAATTATTCATTTTTGAACTCAATGATAATTTCAAAATTCTCCCTGCATTTATAAAAATTAAAAAGGAATACCATCTTGCTAAATATGAACTATCTGTCTGTCTTTTCTGTCTCACCTTTAATGTTCTAGTTTCCAATTGCTGTTCTAAGTTGTCATAGCAACAAAATGCTATTTTCAATAAGTTTTGGTAGAAAACCTGTTCAGAACACCTAATTTATTATAAGTGGAATACATTCAGCTGGTTGCATGTATGACAGATTTTTAAATTTTTTTAAGAAAGCATTTGATCATATTATTCCTAATGACTACTACTTCTTAACCCTTTTATGACATAAAATAACTCTCTTACAGTTCATACATAATAATAGGAATAACTTCTGTGCAGACATGCCTGTAGTTAATCCAAAGAGTTAACTGGAATTTATGTTTTAGCTTCCCTCAGCTCTAGTACATCCAATTATCCTATACCAGTCTATCAACATATTGTTTGTCAGAAACATAGGTTTCTCGTATATTCATTATTTTAACTTCTTGACTTGGTTTCACTGTTAATATAAACACACTTGTAGAAAAATAATACCCAAATTAGAAGAAAATTTTTTGCACACTGCCACCACCAAAGCTCCCATTCAAAAAGAATACACTAATTTTTACATATGCTACTGCTCGAAAGTTTTCATTTTATTCTTTTTGTCCAATACAATAACTTTTTAATTCTTCTTCACTGCATATGAAGCCCTCCAAAATTTGACCCTCTTTATCTTTCTAGATCCATTTACATTTCCTACTTTCATAAATCAGCCAGTACCAACAACCAGGTGACCAATAGTTTTTCTTTGTGTTTTCTCACCTCTGTGTGTACTTCTACAATTTCCCTACCCTTTCCATTCTGGTCTCTTTCGCTATATCTGTCCTAAATATTGGCTCCTCTTTCCTCTGAAAAAGCCATCTCAGATCTCTTCTTTTCTTCCCCGAATGGATAAAAATTATTCACTTAGTCATTGAATAAAATTAACCTCATAGAATATTTCAGACTACCAATATTCACAAATTACTTAGCTGCTTACATGTTTACATTTTACCTGCTCAACTGGCAGCCAAGTTCATTCAGAACAGAACCATGTCTGGTATGTCTTTTTCCAACCCAACATCAATTTTGTCTATTTTATTTAATAAAAGAGAATTGAGAATGCAAATCATATTCCAGATCCTTCCTGCCTTCCAATGACACATGTTAATAAGTCACTTTACACCCATATATCATCAGACATATGGGAACATTTTGGGGAATTAAAGATGAAGGAATGCATTGTTCCTTGTCTCTTCTTTAAATTGTATTATCTTATTCTCAGATACCGCATAAATGTTACCAGCAACCACTTAACTTCACAAGTTACCAATTAACAGAGACCTTGGTATACCCTCGAAATGTACATATGAAAGCTGTGAAAAGGGGCTGAGAGGTCAGAAAACAATACCAGAAACAAGCATTTCTTTTCTGTTTAACTACCAGTTATGCCATCTTAAGGTTTCATGACAAGACAAAGAAAATAAAATATTCTACATTTTTGGTTCCTTTTCCTATACGCCTAAGAAAGTCACCTGACGTCCTTCCAGGAACACGATTACCTGTGGAGAACAGTCTCCATTGAGCTGCCAAAGACCCACTTTCCACTCACAGGGCAAGCCTGACAGGGATCACAGAGTAAGAGTGGAGCATTTGAATGAGGACACATTTGTTTTCACACAAGGCAGTAGCTTATTTACTGCCTTAAAGTTAACAAAAATAAGGTGTGGTTTGCTTTCTTGCACTTATTTTAATGCAAACAATTCACCAAGAGCCTTGGGCATGGCAAATTTCTTTCTTTATTCTGGCATTTAAAAAAGCGCAGCTCTATTGATTCATTGTGTGAATAACACAATTTGAAATATCATTCTTCAATATATCATCAAAGAATTAAAATATCATGCATTCTGTATTATGTGTTTTTTGAAAGTTGTGGTCAGAATATAGACAGTATTTTATTGACTTAAACTTTTAAACCTTGATAGATTTATTGTTTTAAGTCACAGTGTAAAGTAATAAATAATGCAATTTTGAATATGAAATCCTTTCATTGGCACTTCAGAGGAGCAGAAAAGGGAATGCATAAAGTCTTACCAGAAGTAGTCTAACCATTATGAACTAAGGCCAAATTATTTTATTTTTTAAAAAGATCCAATATATTTTATTTGGTGTTTCAGTAAAGTATTATTAGCTGGGCTGTTAAAGCTAAACTCAGGTCTTCGCACTGGATAATGTTATTGGAGACTCTGAGATTGACTTGGTCTTCTCTTTCTTATGAGGCAAATAATAATAATAATGATATGTGCCAGGCACTGTTTTGAAAGGTTTATATATCTCAACTCATTTCATCCCCACAAAAGTCTTATGATCCTCTTGTTATCTCATTTTTAAAGATAAGGAAACTGAGGCACAGGATGCTAAGTAACTTGCCCAAGGTCACACATGGCTAACTGATAACAGCCGGGATTTGAACCCAGGCAATCAGGCTCTAGAACCTGTGCTCTTAACACAACATCACACCACCTCTTGTGCAACCGAAATGGAAAGACTAGAGCCTCCACTAACTGCTGTTTGCCAAGACATTTTTTTCCTATTCCACATACCTATTCCTCTACCCATCACATAGCCATTCACTAGCTCTAACCAAAACTAAGTCGATGTTTCCCAAAGATGATTGGGATGGTTTTAGGTGAAATACAGATTCTTAAAATTTTAATAGTTATATTTGTACTTTGAGATGTATTAAGAAATCAATAAAATTAGCCCATAAAAACACAATCTTACAAATATCACTGCTTGGACAAATCCAAATAAAATAGTAAAGAATTTAGGTAATTTTAAAAATATATTAAGTAAATAATAGGACTGGTGGTAAACAAATGGGGCAGAGTTTTTGAGGCTGTCGTTACGAACGATGGAAGCTTACCACACATTAAAGCCAAGCTCTTTTCAGAGAGCTGGGTTTCCAGATAGACTGGCCCTGGAGTGTCTCCGCTAAACTAAGACAGAATTACTTTCTAGCTGTGTCACAGTGTGGCTAGACTTCCTCACCTTTTTCTTATATAAAACTACACACTTTCTCCTGTCACAATGCAGGGTCACCAAGACAGTCATATCCATCATTCAGCTACAGCCTTTCCAACGGGAAGCCCATGTCCAGCCCCGTGGAGCTCGCATCTCTTCTGTCCTCAGAACACCTAGTTGGGCCCTTTGGTAAAGGCCTGAGGAGCAAACAGGGGTGAAAGTGAGTACAGATGGAAAGAATAAGAAATTATTCTTATTGGGGGACCAAAAAGGGAAGGCAGCGACTCATGCTAAGCAGTGTCTTAAGCACTGCAGTGACTAGCTAGTTTACTCTTGTGAATAAGTCTGAGATGAAAGCATCATTGTCCCTGTTGTACAGATAAGGAAACAAAGCCCACAAAGCGAGCAGGGGGTGAGGCCAGGCTCTGCCATTACAAGCTGGAGGACTTCTACTATACTTTGCAATAAAGACTGAAGAAGGTAAGCGATACATGGAGGATGAAATGAAGCTAAAAGTGACTCTGAAAAGATATATTTCAAATCCTGATTTTAATAGGTTAAAAGGTAAAGTAAGAAAGAGCAACATGGTCATGTCCCCAGAGCTACAACCTAGATATTCAAATGGCCAGTTCAGTGCTCTTTCTAGCACCTTTTCGGAAAAGGCTTAGGCATTCACTGAAAGGTATAGCTGAAGAAGATGCTTAAATCAAACCAAATGGAAGGAAGCACTGCTGTGCCAAGTCACAGAGTTAGCACACACTCAATGGCTGGCAGCCATGGAAACAATTTCTGCTGAATAGGTTATAAAATAAATAGGCTACTGCAGGGCACTTTTCGAGCAGTGGAATTTCATGATGTTGAAATAAAAAAATGTTGAGTATTTAGCGGGTTGGCAGGGATTGGAGCTGACAGTTACCCTGTTGAAAATCTTTATTAGAAGTACTGATACTTTATTGTAACACTAATTAGTACTTTTTTAAATTTAAAATCCTCATACATTGTTGGTGGGATTGCAAATTGGTACAGACGCTATGGAAAACAGTCTGGAGGTTTCTCAAAAGATTAAAAGTGGATATATCTTTTGACCCAGCAATTTCACTTCTGGGTATTTATTCAAAGAAAACCCAAACAATAATTCGTAAAGATCTATGCATCCCAATATTCATGGCAGCACAATTTACAAGAGCCAAGATATAGAAGCAACCTAAGTGCCCATCAACAGACAACTGGATAAATAAATTATAGTTCATAAATACAATGGAATATTACTCAGCCATTAAAAAAATGAAATCCTACCATTTGCAATGACATGGATGGACCTAGAGGTTCTTATGTTGAGTGAAATAAGTCAGACAGAAAAAGATAAGTACCATATGACTTCACTTATATGGGGAATCTAAGGAACACAAGAACAAACTAATCAAAAACTGACTCACAATTATAGAAGACAATTTGGTGACGGAAAGAGAGAATGTGGGTTTGGGGGTCTGGGAGAATGGGGTAAAGGGTTAAAGAATTAGTAGTTGAAAGATGGTCACAGGGATGGGGAGCACAGCACAGAGAATGTAGTTAGCATTAATATATTGGCTAGGTGGAAAACCATCTAGGAGAGAAGGAACAATTAGGGGGATGGTTTTATAAACTATATAAATGTCTGACCAATGTACTGAATACTTGAAACTAATAAAAAAATAAGAAAGAAAGAAAGAAAGAAAGAAAGAAAGAAAGAAAGAAAGAAAGAAAGAAAGAAAAGAAGAAAGAAAAACAGAATTTAAAAGCTGAGTCAAATTGTTTCTTCAAAGACAAACTACAACAGACATGTTCTTCTCAATGACTTACTATATCACCGATTAAAGAGCCATCTTTGCCTCCATCTCCCCATGGTGTCTTCCCCATGATTGGGGTTATATAAATGTTTTTTTGAATTGAATCAAACTCATTATAAAGATTGAAACACCTGTGCAGAAATAAGTGAACATCCTTTAAGTGTAAATGAAAGAAAAATCATAAAATAAAAAAGCATTTGTATTTCTAGCAGTTTGTATTTATCTTCTTCTATAGCCATCTGTTAGGAAAGTCATTATCATAAAAACAATTTTGATCAATAATGACAAAAATTATCCCCAAATTAGTATAACTCTGCTTACTCAATGATTCATAGTCACATATTTTACCTTCTTGATTGGTATTTTAATGCATAATGCTGTTATTTAGAGGCTTATTAACCCACCTTTTAACTCCAGACAATCCTCTTTAACCAAGCTTTTTATTTTTAAAATGATACCAAACACAAACTTTCTGTAATGCTAATTTCTTTGCATTTATGAGTATTTCTCCCACTGTCTTTAAATATTTTATAATAAATTATAAAAACATATTATATGCCATTACAGATAATGAAATCCAAGTAATCATAAGCCTAAATACTTGAAATTCTGTTTAGTTATTTCCTTTTCCCTTCTCTAATAATCATAGAAATGTAAAGCTGTTTAATTTAAAAGGTCACAATTTCACAACAAGGAACTAATAATGCTAACTTTGTAAACCTGAAATGCATGATTGCCTCATTGAAAATAATCTTTGCAACATAATAAAAGAATAACTATCTATGGCCTACAATTTGAGTGATTTATATTATAGGGTTCTACTTCTTCCCAGACCTTCAGTCTATAAGGAATTTTCTAGCAAAGCAAATTTTGTGTGGAACTAAATCTGTGAAGACCCTGAGTGGCACTGAGAAAATTATCCAAGGAAACAAGGCAGGATATTTTTAAGGCAATAGTTTCTTCTTAGAGTAAGTTCAGAAACTTTCCTCATTCCCACCCCCACCCCCACTTAAGACCATAATTACATTTTATTTGGCTACAGCCTCTTTATCATTCTAGGTAGATTGTATTACTTTGACAAATATTGACCCTCCCATCGAACCTTCTATGGGAGAAGTAAAATTCTCCACTTCACTGGTTTTTATTTGGCCATGTGATTTACTTTGGCTTTACGGGACGTGAGAGGATATGAGATGTCACATCCAAGCAAAAACTTAAAATGCTCATGGGTGCTTTGTCTTCTTCTCTTGGACTTTTGATCTCTTCACAAGGAAACATCTTCCCAGATAGCAACTGCTCCTTCAGCCTGGGTGCCAGAATAACAGACATGTGGCACCAATCTGATCCCCAGCACAATCTAGAGCAGAGACCCCCATAGTCAAATCACAGGACCGTTTGTGAGAATAAGTTGTGTGGTTATAAGTTACCAGCATGCTTCAATCCATTGTTATGTAACATCGGTAAAGCAAAAAAAGCGAACTAAACCTGAAGTTGATACCAGGAGTGGGTAGATGCCCAAAGGAAAATATAAAATTTATGACATTGGCTTTGGGGCCAGACGTGGGTAGCCACAAAATTACACATTTTTGTAAATTATCCCGTCCTATTGCACCACTGAATGTTGGTTAGAGGGGAGGAGCAGATATGACATAGAGACTATGATAAGATCTTAAACTTCAAGTCTGATGCCATAAAAGCATAAAATTTTGAGGGAAGAAAGGAGTCTTCATTGGCAGAGAGTTGAATATATTTTGTGGATGCAAGAAAGGAAATTTAATATTTGTTATCCAAAGACAAATTATGAGTAGATTATATAATTATACCACAAATATTCATCCTCCCATCTCACCACCGGAGAAGTATACATTTCCACCCTATTGATGTTTGGTTTGATTATGTGGTTTGCCTTGACCAAAGGAATATGATGGGATATGACAAACAGCCTATTCAGACAGAGGCTTTAAACATGCTTATGGGTTTTTTGGTTTGGCCTCTTATTTATTCCCAGCCATGAGAAGAATATGCCCTAGTCAGCTAATATTCATTCCATTTGCATCTCAGACTGACAGAAATATTGAACACACCTAAATGCACCCAAAGCCTGGAGAAGAAATGTCTTGGCCATCTTGCAGATCTGTGAGTACAGAATAAATGCTTCTTTATGGAAGCTATTAAAGTATTGGGGTTTTTTGTTACGTAACACCATCATAGAAAATCTTACTAATTTATAAATCCATAATAAAAAATGTCAAATCATCACTCTATACTCATGAGAAAGCAAAAGTTATATTTCATCTGATTTCACCTGACCTTGCCTTTCTCCCTACTTTCCATTTTCACATATTTGTATGTGTGATTTTATAGTTTTATTTGTAGTTCTGCTCTATCATGTCACAAAGATATATTTTTCTTGATGTCCACTGTTTTAACTATCATTCCTTAGGACATCCAAGGGACTTTAGGAGATTCACAGATAAATTATGGAGCTCCATGAGTCAACCTTGCTATTCCCCCAAATCTACCTTACAGACATTTAATCTGAAAGTATTTATCTATGTTTTGTAAATTAGGAAGGTGTTGCTAAAAACTGTGCTGTTGCAGCTACTTTATTTTGTGAGCTAAAACACAAAACAACAAAACCTTTGTGACTGCATCTAGTAGTGGCCTCATTAATCACCCTATATATGTTTTATCTTATTATATCAATGTTTTTAGTTGAAATAAAGCATCTTCTGATTTACCATAATCCTAAATCTCACTGATCAAAGCTACAGAAAAAATATCTTTGACAAATCAACCAATTTAAACAAAAGAAAGAAGTCAGGGTAGATATTAGGGATTTAGGATTTAAGAGTCCTAGCTGCTCACAGAATTAACAAGAGGATTAGGTTGGCTCATAAGCACCTTTTTGTGCCAGAGTAGACACCAGGGAACTGAAAACACAGCTGGGATACTTGGATTACATGTGTGACAAGCCCCCAAGGAACTGCCAGCCAGACGCCCATAGTAAAGCTAGCGTTCCTTGTGTGGAACAGACATGAAACTAATGATGTTCCATGATGCAGCCATTGAGATAAAAACCATCTGTGGTTTATCCATGTGCCATTTTGTCACTATAGATGTGCATGAAGAAAAAAACATGGCATGGAAACAATTTACATGGGGAGGTTTTGGGTATGTAGACACATCCTGATGACTATACATAGCTAAAAATTTAAAACTGTCTATCACAACGCTGTCTTGGGTTGTACCATCCACATCGCGTATGTGACCTCAGCCACTTGAAAAATTAAACTACTGGCATCAGTTATGAGGCAAACAAATTAATTATTACTATGAAATGTGGATATGGGATGTAAGAGTCTTGAGGAAAGTCAATCAGAATAATACCAATAATTTTTTAAAATCATGAACAAACATCACTACTATTCGGAATAGCTAAGTTTGTTCCTGTCAAATGAAAAGATGCAAAATTGAAAAATTAGTGTGATCCAACCATAGCAAAACTCATAATAGTGGCTTCAACATAAAAGTCTCGGTGTTCCAGAAAGTTAGAACTTGGGAAACTATTATCCACTTTTATTGCAAGCAGTATTTTCATTCAGATGTTGTCACTCACTACCTTCTGCTTTGTAGGTACGTCTACCCAGCAAAGCTTGTAAAGTGGGGGCTTGTAAATTTTCCAGTTAATCTATACTATAAGCGAGTGAATAATAACATGTTTGCATCATTAAAATTTAGAAAACATTTTTATACAATTTCATATTTGATTCTACTAACTATGCAGCGTGTTACATACTATCACCTGCCTTAAACCATGAGACACCTGGAATGTGGATAGAGACGTCCCTGTCCTCCCACCCCCGCATACAGATTGTCATTGAAAGAGTCTAGACTTCAATCTAGATCTTTTAAGTCTAAATCGAATTGACATTCCACTAAATGAAGAGGTGATTTTATTTACTAGTTAAATTATCATGTTTTCCCTCTTCATAAGAGTATTACATTGGCAGGACAAAAGTTAAATAGCCATGACATATGACAAACATGCTGTAAAACTTTAAATAATATTTTAAAATGTAAATATCAGACAAGGAAATCTTGACAATTTTCATGTTAAGAATCTTGATTTTATAACAAAATTATTTATTTTGACACTTGTCACAATTAGAAATTTCATATTATTTAGGTCAATTATCTTCCTTAGTATTTGTTTGGCAGGAAGATACAAATAAGTAAAACTGGCTAACCCAGGAATGTTTTAGAAGCTTTCAATATAAAAGGGTTGAACTTTTTTTCTGGGGTGGTAACAAGAACTTACCTCTCTCTCTTTCTCTGTCTTTCTCTCAAAAAAAATTAAAAAGTTTTGCTGCTTTAAAATAAACTTTGCACTATTACTTTAAATGTATGGATTTACATATTGTTTTATTTTAAATGACAGGAAACATGCAAAGTTCCAGAAAACTATAATAAAAAAATCAATTTATATAAAAAATAAAAGGTATTAGACCAACACTTCTATGATCGTTGCTAAGAAACAGGAAGTGTATTTCCTATTTAGTATATAAAATGCAAAACATTTCCTCTCAATCACAAAGCATTTCGTCTATAATTTAAAATACTGAATCCATCCCTTGGAACTCTGGGAAAAAGAAGCAATTCGTCTTCCCAAGTGTGAAGGGAAAGAATCTTTGTGAAAATGATGTACCTCAGTTTCCCCCCAAAGGCATTAAGAAGATGAACCTTACAAGGCAGCAAAGTTTACCTTTGGTTCCTGTCCACATCTCCCACAGGTGCCCCTGCCTCCTCTCCCTTCCTGCCTTTTTTCCTGAATGTGTAGGATCCCCTTGCTAACAGTAACATTGCTCCAGGTAGAGTATATTGTCTTTGAGTTTTATTTGAGTCTTGAGGATAAATATCCCTAAGACCTAAATAATTAATATCTTAGGAAAGTCATTGCATGCTTGCATGTCATTAATTTTGAGGAGACAATCTATATTTTTCATTAACTTGAAATCATAAAGATATTTACCATGAAGTATCTTCTCGTTCTGATTTTGTTCCCAATTTCCCTGGTTCCTACCCTTCCCACCAAAAGAGTCACTTTTATTCGTCTCTTATGTTCTTTCAG